AATTTTTTCACATCTCAATGATCAGACAATTGAGATAGGGAAATAATTTGCTTCTATTTATAATATCACTGTACTAATAACCCTGCATCATAAGATAAACTGAATTGAAATTATATGTCGATATTTGCCATAATCAAGCCTTTGTTGGTTTGGTTTAAATTTTGCAAAAGTATTTTTTTTTTCCAGAGAGAGAGAAGAATGTTCTATAATGTGCCTCCCTGATTTGGGTAGGAAAAAGATAACATATCAAGGTCTAAATTGTTTTATCATTTCCTCCTCCTGATTATCTTTTCCGTCTGTTGTATAGAATGTCAGTGTTCTTAAAGGGCAAGATTAGTATGTGGTTAAGAGCCCAGGCTCCAGAGAGAGACTACTAAGAATCTAAGCAAAGTCCTTTTCTAGCCGTGTGCAAATTGCTTAACCACTCAGTGTCTTCATTTCATCATCTGTAAAATGATAAGGGCGTTGTGAGGATTAATGTATGTGAAGTGCTCAATGCCGGGAACATGGGCAGTGAATATAGGAGTGCTGCCACAGCCGCTGTTGCAGAGGCAGCAGTGTGGCTGTGCTACTTTTTTTCCTCGTTATTCTATTATTATCCACTTTTTATTATTATAGAAAACATCTTCCAAGAGTTACTGAAACCACCTTTGGTGATTCTGTCTATTGGATAACATTGCACATGTGCCCTGAAGTTACCCCAGCATAGAAATACAGTAAGAAACATTCCAGAAGCTGCAAAGAATTTGCAAATGCTGGGTCAGATTGTGCTTGCCTTAAATTTGCATAGATACTGCCAACTTGCGCTCTAAAGAGGTTACACAGAATTACATTTCAGGGTTTTCCCCCACCGCCATCCCTTCCCATCATAGCCACCTCCAGGCGCATGGAGAATCCCTGCTACAGTGAGCCTCAGGTGTCAGTGGGTCTCTCTGAGGTATGTTAGAGCAAAAACAGCAGAGAACCAGACTTAGTACCTTCTTCTCACCCTCCCCTTCCAAACACTGTAAATTGCCTTCCTTGTTATATCCTCGGATTTTATCAAAAGTGACCACAAGGAACTACCACGTGGAAAGGGCTTCCGTGTGTATAGCACAGCAGCAGTTGAAGTCAGTGCCCCATAGAAAACACTCCGTTATCAGACATCTCTTTAGTTTTAGGAAATACTTTGTCTTCCCTCAGTGAACTGATTTCCTTCCTTGAGGATTCAAACACATTATTTTTAGAGCAGCTTTACTGAGGTATAATTTATACATATCTCACCTATTTAAAGTTTGCAATTTGATGGTTTTTAGCCTATTCACAAAGAGTTGTGCAACCATAACCACATCAAATTTAGAATATTTTCATAAACCCCACAAGAAATCTATACCCTTTAGCGGTCACTGCCTGCTTACCTCTTAATCACTTCCCCTTTCCCCCGGCACGAGACAATCATTAATCTACTTTCTATTTCTATAGATTTGCCTATTCTGGACATTTCATATACCTCAGATCATATAATGTATTGCCTTTATGACTGACTCTTCGCTTAGCCTGCCTTCAAGGTTCATCCATGTATTAGCACTTTGTTCTTTTTTAATGGCAAAATAGCATTCCATTGTATGGATATGTCACCTTTTGATTATCTGTTCATCAGGTAATGGACATTTACGTTGTTTCCTCTTTTTGGCTGAATAATGCTGCTATAACTTTTCATGTATAAGTTATTATTGTTTGGCATGTATTTTTACTTCCCTTAGGTATATACCTAGGGGTGGAACTGCTGAGTTAATATGGTAACTCTGTGTTTAACATCTGAGATAATTCCAGACTGTTTTCCAAAGGAGCTGTATCATTCTGCCTTCCAACCAGCAATGTATAAGGGTTCTAATTTCTCTACATCTCTCCAACCCTTATTCTTGTCTGTTTTTTGATTAAAGCCATCCTAATGGGTATGAGGTTCTCTCATTGTGGTTTTAATAAGCACTTCCCAAATGCCTAGTGTTGTTGAGCATTTTTCCATGTGCTTATTGGTTATCAGTGTATCTTTTTGGAGAAATGTCTATTAGCTCTGTAGCCATTTTTAAATTGGGTTATTTGTCTTTTTATTATGGAGTTGTAAGAGTTCTTTACGTATTCAAGATACAAGTCCCTTACAAGATACATGATTTGCAAATATTTTCTCCCATTCTGTGGGCTTTTTGCTTTCTTGATTGTGTCCTTTGAGACATAAAAGGTTGTAATTTGGTAAAGTCCCCTTTATCTCATTTTTTCTTTTGTTACTTACGATTTGATGTCATAATTCAAAGTCACAAAGATTTACTCATATTTTCTTGAAACAGATTTATATTTGTAGCTCTTAACATTTAATCCATTGATCCATTTTGAGTTAATTTTTATTGATGGCATAAGGAAGAGGTTCAACTTCATTTTTTTTTTCTGCATTTGGATATTCACTATTTGTGGGGGAAGAAAACCATTCTTTTCCCTATTGAATTGTTTTGGCACCCTTGTCAAAAATCAGTTGACCATAATGTAAGGGTTTATTTCTGGACTCTCAGTTCTGTTCCATTGATCTCTATCTTTATGCCAGTACCATGTTGTCTTAATTACTGTAGTTTCTTCCTGTCAATCTGGATGCTCTTTATTAATTTTTCTTGCCAAATTTTTCTTACTGGGACCTCTAGTACGATGTTGAATAGAAGTGGCGAGAGTGGACATCTTTGTCTTGGTTCCTGATCTTTGGGGCAGAGCATTCCATGTTTTACCACTGAGTATGACATTAGCCATGGCTTTTTTTTTTTAACATTTTTTATTGATTTATAATCATTTTACAATGTTGTGTCAAATTCCAGTGTAGAGCACAATTTTTCAGTTATACATGAACATATAGATATTTATTGTCACATTTTTTTCTCTGTGAGCTACCACAAGATCTTGTATATATTTCCCTGTGCTATACAGTATAATCTTATTTATCTATTCTACAGTTCTGAAATCCCAATCTATCTCTTCCCACCCCCCGCCCCCTTGGCAACCACAAGTTTGTATTCTGTGTCTGTGAGTCTATTTCTGTTTTGTATTTACGCTTTGTTTGTTTTTGTTTTTGTTTTTGTTTTTTAGATTCCACATATAAGCTATCTCATATGGTATTTTTCTTTCTCTTTCTGGCTTACTTCACTTAGAATGACATTCTCCAGGAGCATCCATGTTGCTGCAAATGGCGTTATGTTGTTGGTTTTTATGGCTGAGTAGTATTCCACTGTATAAATATACCACATCTTCTTTATCCAGTCATCTGTTAATGGACATTTAGGCTGTTTCCATGTCTTGGCTATTGTAAATAATGCTGCTATGAACATTGGGATGCAAGTGTCATCCTGAAGTAGGGTTCCTTCTGGATATATGCCCAGGAGTGGGATTCCTGGGTCATATGGTAAGTCTATTCCTAGTCTTTTGAGGAATCTCCATAGTGTTTTCCACAGTGGCTGTACCAGACTGCATTCCCACCAGCAGTGAAGGAGGGTTCCCTTTTCTCCACAGCCTCTCCAGCATTTGTCATTTGTGGACTTTTGAATGATGGCCATTCTGACTGGTGTGAGGTGATACCTCATCGTAGTTTTGATTTGCATTTCCCTGATAATTAGTGATACTGAGCATTTTTTTTCATGTAGCCATGACTTTTTATAGTTGCCCTTTATCAGGCTGAGGAAGTTCCCATCTATCCCTAGTTTATCATCATGAAAGAATGTTGAATTTTGTCAGAAATTTTTTTCTGTGTCTACTGAGATGATCCTGTAGTTTTTATGTCCTTTATTCAATAGATATAGTGTATTACAGTAATTGATTTTGAGATGTTAATCCATTCTTGCATTTGTGGAATAAATCCAACTTGGTCATGGTGTGCAATCATTTTTGTATATCACTGGATTTGGTTTGCTAGTGTTTCTATTGAGGAGTTTTGTGTCTGTATTCAGAAAAAATTTTGGTTTGTGATTTTCTTTTCTTGTGGTGTCTTTGATTTGGTATTAGGGTAATACTGGCCTCTTAGAATGAGTTAGGAAGTGTTCCTCTACTATTTTTTGGAAAATTTTGTGAAAGATTTAATTCTTCTTTAACTGTTTGGCAGAATTCATCAATGAATTCATTTGGTCCTGAATTTTTTTTTGCATGAAAGGTTTTAGTCACTACTTGTTACACATTTATTCATATTTTCTATCCATTCTTGAGTCAGTTTTGGTAAAGTATGTATTTCTAGGAATTTGTCCATATTATCTAGGTTATCTAAATTGTTGTGATACATTTGTTCAGAGTATTCTCTTATAACCCTCAAGGTCCATAGTTATGTTCCAAGTTACATTCCTGATTTAATAATTTGAGTCTTCCTTCTTTTTTCTTGGTCAGTCTAGCTTAAGGTCTGTAAACTTTTGAGTTTTTCAAGAATCTGCCTGGTTTCATTTATATTCTCTGTTGTTTTTTCTATACTCTATTTCATTAATTTCCACTTTACTTTTCCTTCCTTCTGCTTGCTTTTGATTTGTTCTTTTTCATCTGCAATCTTAATGTGGAATGGAGGTTATTGACTTAAGAATTTTCTTCTATTTTAATGTAAGCATTTACAGCTGTGAATTTCCTTCTGAGCATTGCTTTACCTACATCCCCTAGGTTTTGGTATGTTGTGTCTTCATTTTCAATCATCTCATCAGAAAGCATATTAGAAAGTATTTTCTAATTTCCCTTTTGATTTCTTCTTTGACCCATGGGCTGTTTGGAAGTGTGTTGTTTAATTTCAATATATTTGTGAATTTCTAATTTGTTATTGATTTCTAATTTCATTCTGTTGTGGTCAGAGAACATACCTTGTATGATTTTAATCCTTTTAAATTTATTGAGGCTTATTTTATGGCCTAGCATATGAAAGATGTTTCATGTGCCTTGGAGTGTGCTCTATCTTCTAGGTAATGGATTACAGTGTTGTACAGCTGCGTTTCTGATGTCATTAACTTTCTTTTTTTCAGCTGATGAATTAATCAGTCCTAAAGACATTGATCCCGTTCATCGTTATGTTTCACTACAGAATCAACGTAATGTGAGCATGAGGTTTTCCAATCAGGTAAAGATATTTTATTTCTTAATTTAGACTCATCCAAAGACATTTAAACTTTAATTGAAGAAGAAATTTTATTTCAAATCAGTTTTTATTGTTTCTTTGAGGGTGAGGCTTTTCTGTCTTCTGGTTAGTTAAGATTTACTTGTGGTAAAGGGCTATTTGTTAATAAGGAAGTATGAGTCAGATGTGTCCAACAAGATGTCTCCCAAATAAATGTTTTCATCCTCACAGTGGTTGATTTTAAGGTGTCAAATGTCTTTGAGAAGATGTGGTATGGATGGGTAGCATGGGGATAGAGGAGACGGCACTGTTACTGAAGGGAGTGGTGTACCATGAAAGGCCCTGTACTTGACGTCTGTCCAGTGCTGTGTCTCCATGACAGCACTGAGTGACTGACAGAGTTGTTCTTAGTACTCAGTGATGTGTCGGGTGAAGGAATAGTTTTTAATTTTTTTATATTTAGTAGCTATAGGTTCAGACTATGTTTTGTCAACAAAATAAGTGTTTGCAGGATCAGCAAGATTGATGTTGACTTGAATAAACCCTCAAGTATTAAATACCAGTAATGAGGACTATTAAAATGAAAATGTTGTGGATTGTGGAAACTGCCTGAGGAGAGAGGGAATGAATCTGAGTGTGTGCCTGGGATTCCAAGCACTTTACGCTTATTTAATAAGAATAACATCAGCACTTACAGAATATATGCTTACAGAATTGAAATGCTCCTTTTACTTTAAAAATATACATATAACACACACAGATGAATGCTTGGTGGTTTTTAAAAATTTTTTTTACAGTTTAATTTTTGGAGGGGGAGGTTATTATTATTATCATTATTATTATTATTATTATTATTATTATTATTATTATTATTATTTAATGGAGGTACTGGGGATTGAACCCAGGAACTTGTGCATGGGAAGCATGTGTTCTACCACTGAGCTGTACCCTCCCCTCAGTGCTTGTTTTAATCAGTGAAGGGAGAGCCAGTTAACCTCATTACTAGGTTCTGTCATACTATTTTTCTGAATCTTTTGTTGGTCCTCGACAAAACATGTAGTTACTCTGAGGCGTTTATAGATGAGAAGCTCTTTGGGAAACTTGTAAATACACGTTAAGATTTTCTCAGGAACATAAAATGCCTATGTTATATGTGATAGAAATTTTACACTGGCCTTTTAGCTCTCATATAAGCAGGGATTTGGCCTTTATCTTAGTCTCAGTGCAGTACAAGTGTACCTTCTGTACAAATTTGAGACATGTGGTTTCACTGAAAGAAATGGTAATGTAGAGAATACAGTTAACTTCCTATTACCCAGGGCTGTGACCCTGAGCCATTTTAAGATTAGTATATATTGTTTACAGAGCATTTCACATGTGTGACCCACTTCTCTAGGTTGATGAAATCTCAAAGCCTTTTCTTAGAAAATAAAGTGACCTCTTGGTCACAGATTTGAGATGTTGGGGCGGGAACCAGAGAACATCAAAGCACATGGCTCACGAAGTCAACAATGTAAGCGCTTACTTCGTGTTTGACACATGTAAGGAGGGCTGTGGGTTATGTGTAATTTTTGACATACAGTATACTTGCAGCTCTTTATCGCCTATGCAAGAAAGCTTGTCGGAATTCAAGTGAGTGAGAGTGAATTTTATAGAGCATTTACTGTAGGTGTATTTTTTATGTTAAAATCATTTTCTGATGTTGCTCCTGCTGCTGTCTGTTGCATCCCTCCCAGGCAGAGCCACATCCTAGCTAAAGACTTGTTCTAGGTTAAGGACAGGTGCTTCTCTCCTGTAGCCGTGTGGGCATTACATCTGTGCATAGTTGTGTACTGTTGGTGAGAGGGAGATGACGAGAGGGTTGGCAGCAGAAAATTGCTGGGTGCTGTTATTGCCCCACCCTCTGGCAGCTTGACTGCAGTGGTGTCTAAAATGAGGAGGTGCCTTTGCCACTTTCTCAGCTGGTTAAGCAGTAGCCATGACCTGGCATGGCCACGTCCATCGTTGGGGCTGGATGACACAGCCTGTTGAGATATGGAGGTCAGACATGGCCCTCCACTTAAAATGCTGGTGTCAGTGGCCTCTCAGTCATGACTGACCTGGTCAGATCCTACCATTAACTGATCTGTGGGGATTGACCAGATGCTTTAAACCCTGCCAAATGTTGGAAAAAGTAAATAGAGTAGTAAATTTCAGGCGTTTCCTCAAAACAAGAGAAATCCCTGCCTTTCAAGGAAGATGTATCGGGGTCCCCTCAACCACCCTTAGCCCCAGTGACCACTGGAAGGACTCACAGGACTCAAAAGGTGCTCTACTTACAGTTTATTACAGGGAAATTGTACAGGATAAAATCAGCGCAGGCACATGGGGCAAGCCCTGAGGATACCAAGCACAAGCTTCTGTCCCAGTAGAGCCATGTAAGACAGCTGCCCAGCAGTGACGTGTGACAGCACATGCACAGTGCTGCCAGCCACGGAAGCTTTCTCAGGCTTGACTGTCCAGGGTTTTCATCCAGGGTCAGTCCTGGAAGCCTTTTTTGTGACACCTACATGATTGACCTTGGTTATTTAAGCTCTAGCCCCGCCAGAGGAAAAGCAGATGTCCACCATAAATCACACTGTTAGCATAGACCGTTGGGTCAAACGGTACAAAGTGGCTCAAGGCCTTAGGCACACAGATACACTCTTACCTGACAGAACGTTCCAAGAAACCAGACAAGGGCCCATCCATGCCTTTCTTGGGAATTTTCAGGCTATAAACAACCCAGGCCTCCTGAATCAACTGATTCCTACACAGAAGGGTTATGGCAGAAGGAAATTTCAAGAAACCAGAAAACAGGGAGTATGCCAGAACCGTAGAAAGGCCCTCTCCTTCAAGTATGCGTCGGGCTGTTGACACATTACAGACCCAAGACATTGAGGACTAAATTGAGAGCTGTTGATTTTCTCAACTTTACCCGTAGCAAATTCACTTCAGGAAAAGGGAGGTGCTTTTGTACCTGGGGGTAAGACTGAGGTTGAAAAAGTGTGGTATCATCTGGGATGACCCTTCTCACTACTCTCTCACTTGTCAAATATTGCTTAGGATATTACTTAGAGAATAAAACAAATCCCCTGTTATAAATAACGTTTAGAGGAGTAGAAAGAAACTCATTGTAAGCAATAGTAGATACACTTTATAGTACTGTGAGATTTTGAACAAAACAAAATCAAACAAAAAATCTTTGGGGACCTTAAAATGTGAGTTCCTGGAGATCTTTGGCCCAAGAGAACAGACATCTATTGTTTTCATGGGTTTTGTTTTTTGGGTTTTGGTTGGTTTTTTTGTTTTTTGTTTTTTGTTTTTTTGTTTGGTTTGGTTTTTTTTTTTTTTTTTTTTTTTGTTTTGTTTTGTTGGTTTTTTTTTTTTTTTGGTTCTATGCCTGTTGGTTGTTTTGGGCTACAGGACTCTCTGGTGCTCAGCCCAGCACATTGGGATCTCAGAAATCTCACCACATTGCCATTCTTCAGGTCCTGAGGGTGGTTCTCAACCAGCCCAGTTTACTGCCTTCTTTTCAGCTCTCAGAGTCCTTTACTCATTATCCATTGAATTATCCCCAGGGTAAATAATTACACTTAGAGCAGGAAGGAAAACTGAGTCCAGGATATCTTGCTCCTACTTAGTCTTTTTTTTTCATTGATAATTTATCTTCATAAGTCTATCTATGAATGAAAATTAAGGTTAGATCTCTTCTGTTCCTTAAATAGTCTTTTTTTCTGTAATTTTAAAAATAATACTTGCTATCATTTATTGAGCATGTATATATTTAATAGAAACTTTATTGAGATATAATTTACATCCTATATAATTTATTCATTTAAAGTGTAAAAATTCAATGGTTTTTAATATATTCACCACAATTAATTTTAGAATAGTTTCACAACTCCCAAAAGAGACTGCTGTAGCTTTTAGCAGTCACTCTCCATTTTCTTCAGCCTTTCTCTCTCTCCCCATCACAGCCCTAGGCAACTACTGTCTACTTGCTGTCTATATGAATTTTCCTGTTCTGGATGTATCAAATAAATGGTTTCATATAATATGTGGTATTTTGTGAATGGCTGTTTTCAGAGTTCATCAGTGGTTTAGCATGTATCAGTATTTTAGTCCTTTTTATGGCTAAATAACATTCCATTGTGTGTATATACCACATTTTATTTATCCATTCTTCTGGTGATAGACACTTGAGTTTTTTCCACTTTTTGGCTGTTGTGACTAATGCTACTGTGAAATTTTGTGTACAGATTTTTGTGATGTATTTTCATTTTCCTTGGATATGACAGAATTGCTGAGTCATATGCTGACTCTGTGTTTAACATTTTGCAGACTGCAGGCTGTTTTTCAAAGTGAATGCACAATTTTGCGCTCCTATCAGCAATATATGAGGGTTCCAATTTCTCTACATTTTTGTCAACACTTGTTATTAGCCTTTGTTTTGATTATAGCCATTCTTGTGTGTAAGAAGTGGTATATATCATTGTGGTTTTGATTTGCATTTCCCTAGTTACTCTAGTTACTAAAGTCACTGAGCATCCCTTCATGTATTTATTGGGTGGATGGATATGTATACTCGTCTTTGGGCAAATGTCTGTTAAGATATTGTGCTCATTTTTAAATTGGGTTCTTTGTTTTCTTATTATTGTGTTGTAAGGGTTCTTCATGTGTTCTACACATGAGTCCTTTCTGTGATTTGTAAATATTTTCTCCCATTTAGTAAAGTGTCATTCCAATTTGTTGATGGTGTCATTTGAAGCACAGACATTTTCCATTTCAATTAAGTTTAATTTAGCTTTTTTTTTTATTTGATTGCTGTGCTTTTGGTGTCATATCTAAGAAACTGTTGTTTAATCAGGATCACAAAGATTTATGCCTATGTTTTCTTCTAAGAAATTTATAGGATTAGCTCTTAAATTTAAGTCTCTGTTCCATTTTGAGTTAACTTTTGTATATGGCAGGCATTCAACTTC